ACTAGCACGTTTGAAACAGAAGAAATGAAAATCAGGAAAATCAGAAAAAATCAGAAACCAGAAAGCCATCAGAAAAAGTGTTCAAAATCAGAAAATTTCTGAAAAATCAGAAGATCTGGCCAGCCTGTTTTGGACATACAGCATGCGTCAAAAACAATTATTCATTGCCTTTTAAGATTAATTTTCTTTTTTCTGCACTGTAGCTTGAAAAGGGAACGCGAGTTTTTAGATTTTGGGAAATCAGTAAGTGGTAATTTGTAAATGGAGTTTTTGAAGACTGTTTAGTATTCTCTACCAGCATGTGATACTAAAATGTCTCTACAGTTACTTTCATTCTGACTCACTTTTGAAAGAAAACGGTCCCAAAATCACTCCATTGCTTTTGTCTTCTCAGCTAAAATCTTTAAAGCATTTATTTTTCATTTCTTTTGTTCAAGGCTGACACTGTCTTACAGTACACTTTAGTCGACGCTTTATGTCGAAATAGTGTTGATTTTGTTACACTATTAACTGAGAAGGGGGCACAAGTAATCTCTCTTCAGTTATATCAGATGAAAATTGTGAAAAAGAAAACAAAGGTTAGTAACCGATGTCTGTTGGTGTCGTTCCTTATTAAGTTATTTTTCTTGTTGTTTTCTGCCAATAATTAGAATGACGATCAATTACCATATACAAAGACATCTAATGATGAAGACGAAAATACGCTACAAGCTTATATAGATCAGTATTTAAAACCGTCCGTAAGTAAAGCTAGAAAAGAATAACATTTTTCCATATCTAACTCTTCTTTTTAATAATCACACACAAATTAGTATTACCGTAGTTTATGCGGTACTTTTTTAACTTCCTTTTATACTACGTGTGTCTTTTGAAGAAGAATATAGCATCAGGCATTCCTGGTAAAGCTGAAGAATTATTTTTATGGTTTGTATTCATGAATCAATTTGATATGGCTCTGTGCTTGTGTTCTCAAGTTCGAGTAAGTAGGCAGAGTTTTTTCGCTCAACAAATGATAGATAGATACGGTATATTCTAGAGTCCAGTTGTTGCCTGTTTACTTGGTTCACAAATTTATCGTACAGCTGCAAAACATGCCGATACAGAAGTTGACAAAGAATTAGAACAAGATTATTTTGATAAAGCAAAGTATGTTAAAATAAACAGTACTTAGAGGTTTTTCTGGGGGGTGAGGGCGGGGGGTGGTAATGCAGATATCTGATAGCTATATGGACCATTCTACGATTTTTTCTTCCATCATAAGTTCCTGATCTTGAGAAATTAATTTACCGATTAGTCAACTAGTAAAATGTTATTAGCGTTAAGATTCTTACTCTCTAGCGACAAAAAATCTGAAAGTGTCTGAGAAGCCTATGGGGTACTAAAGCACATATATGATAAAATTCTCAGCAAGATCGGAGACAAAAACAAGTATCCTTCCAAAACTTCGTCTTCTAAAGATTTTTTGACAGTCCGAAATATTATGCCAAATCGAACTTTTAAAAATGTTTATGATGAAACTGTTTGTTTTTTGTCTGGACATTCGAAGGATGTCGCGTGCATAACGGTTGCGTCATGTACATGCAAACAGAGTAATTTATTTCCGAGAAAAAGAATAGCGTTTTCAGAAACAATGATAGATAAGCTTGCGCTTGCGGTCTATCCCCGACAAGCGTGATCAGATCTTAGGCTGTAAGCTGTCAACGTCCGAGAACGCTGGAGTATTCCTGATTCCTACTGCTTCCAGTATGGTGATCCCAAAAGCAAGTGAAAATATAGTTTAGCGACCCCATTCTCCATCTTCCAGCAACGTCTGTGTTACTCCAAGAGTTGAAAGAATACCAAAAGACTTATTATTGAGAAAATACAGGTTTTCTTCATCTAAATGCGAGCACATGAAGAAAAATTCATAAAATTTCCTTAATTATTGACCTAAATGCTTCAACATTTTGAGATAAACTCAGATTACTGTTCTGTAAATGGTAAGCTATCGAAAACCTGTTAACTTGTTCGTTGGTGAAAGAGATTTTTCAGGACATTCATGGAAAGCTTAATGGCCAGAAAATGCAGTTTTCCCTATTCTGATCGCATCAACACTTGGGTTGCCCTGCTATGAGTATAGATGGAAAGTTATTAAAGTAATGACCAATTGCCTTTCCATCTGAAATTCGAATGGTTATGCCTTTATTTGCAACTAATAACGTGACTTTTGCCTATGATTGTGTTTCTAGAAAATTTGATCAACATGCCGGCCGCATCATCGATGAATGCTACAAGATAGACAAAAATCTTGCTATAAATATATTCGAATCACCTAGTGTTGTATATTTCAATTTAATACCATTGCAATTAGCACTCAGTGCTGGTTGTAGAAAATTCTTAGCAGCTGATACTGTACAACACTATTGCCATTATAAATGGTACGAACATATTGACAGCGATCAAAAACTATTAAGAATGTCTGTTCGTACATGGGTTAGTGTTTTTTAAGTTTATAATTTGTGTTTATTTGTGTAAGAAATATTTGTTACTCATAGGTATTGGTCTCTGCATTAATTATTCCACTTGTTCCCGTTCTTTCGCTATTTTTACCATCGATCAAAGATAAAGAAGTGGTAAGTTGTTTGAACGTCAATTTCGCTTTTCACAATGGCTATCGATACCACCTGTGTCGTTTTTTGGAGGCTGACCGGTACTACAGGTCTCGGGAAAATGTATCGAATGTGATGTGTCCGTTTTTTCAAATATTTCGACGATAATTTCATCAATATATGACCGTTTCTATTTCTGAACATATATTCTCGTATAGAAAACATTTCTCTTTGGAATTAAAGGTGTGCCGGGGCTAGGGAGTTCTAAAAAATCAAAAATACTATAAATCGTCAAAAACAGGGACTTTTTGAAGAGTCATCATTATTGAGCCGGTCCGCCCAGCCCAAGGAAATAGTAGCAGACTGAGAAATTTTGGTTGAATTAATTTTATTGCATGCTAATTCAAACCAGGGTATAGAGAACGAAAATAAATTTTTTGTGGCGGTCGGAATGGAAAGAGATTTTCTGGCGACGCCTGTCTTTTAAAACGTTGTTACGACTGTGAGCAAGACGAGACAAACAAAATAAGACAGAATTCGAAATCTGTTGCATAAAACAGGATTGTGGACAAAATGCTGCTGGAATACTACTTTTTCAATTGTAATAAAATTCACTCATATTTTTTAGGAACTTGCCAATACAAATCCAAAAATATCGGCCATCACCTATGAACTCGAGTAAGAGTCTTTTCCACTTGCTAACAAAATATTCCATCAAATTTTCGTTGAGCAGGACTCCATCAGACGCAAAGAAAATTACATTAGCCCATCGTGTTAAGTGGTTTTATGATGCACCGATTGTACGCTTTTATTATCATGTGGTAAGTTTTCGGGGCTAATCAACACACATGACATAAGTATATTTTTAAATTTTAGATATTTTTTATATTATTTTTGGGTTTATTTAGTTTTGTTCTTTTGGTTGATTATTTTCCATTGAATATTTATGGTGAAACACGTTCCGGTATTCAAAATTTACTAATACCGAGCACAGAAATTAGTCTACATATTTGTTTCTGGGGTTTAATTATCGATGAAATATATCAGGTATAAAAGAAGATCATACAGAATAAAATTCGAGTTTGTATTGAGAACCTTTTTACTATTTAAAATAGTGGGTTAAACATCAAAGAAAGGAGCAAGATTACAGCGGCGATGTGCGAAATATTTCAGATATTTTTGGAATTATTTTTTATTTGATTGGATTTATAACACGATTTATTGTTTTAGAAACAGCTTTTATTGTATCAAAGTAACGTTAGATGATGGTAACTAAGAGCTTTTCTAGGTGGTGTCTTAACTGAACTTTTTTTTGTTAGAATTTCGATGTGTATGGCACTCATTTTTTGGTCGATACGTTTATTACATTTATTTGCTGCCTATGAATCACTTGGGCCAACATTAGTTATGATTTTTAAAATGGTATTTACGTTTTTACATTTGATTTCTGAGAATAATAGTTTGACTTTTCTTGTAGACCCAACAAGCCATGTTAATTTTTGTTTGTTTTATTCTAATATTTTTATTTTCATTTTCCATAACATCTGTGTCCCTGTTAACAACAACATCTCAAGTAACTTGGATCTACACTGATGATGGACAATTGTTTAATGCAACAGTGACCGGTAAGGGATCTGGAACTGAGATGTGGAACTGGCAGTTATTACGGGATGTTACCACCTGGGGAATCTGGAAAGTATTTGGACAAATTGATGAACCAATTAACAATAGCGTCAGCAGTAAGTTGCACAGAGAAAAGAATGTGTGAACGATAAATCGTGCGGATGTTTTTATAGCCAACGATTCATATGGTGCATTTGTTTTTATATTCGCCATTTTATTTGTTATGATTGCTAATGTTCTGTTGTTGAATGTGCTGATTGCAATGTTCAAGTAAGTTACGTTTTTACACTGTAGAGAGAAAGAGTCATTTTTGAATTTGGTCTACGTTTTGAAATTCGTTCTACTCAATAGATTTCCAAGTCTTTTTTGCTACTTCTTCTGTATGTTTGTGCATCCATTTCGGAAAGAATCAGTTGTGTGCTCCTTAAAACCACCCTAATATTCATCGAACACGGTTAAAAACTGATGTTTTTTAAGTTGGTTCGCGAGAAAAACCTGTTTTTTTTCTCCGTACAAATGGAGGAGAAACTTTTCAATTAGTTTGTAGTAGAATTTTGGGCGGAAATTTTCTCAACAAAATATTAAAAATATGGTAATGACAGAGACTTTTCGATTTTCTATGCACTGCTTAGTATAGATATAGATGTGAAACAATCTTCTCTAGAAAAACTCGATTTTCACACATTTTATGCACTAACATTCCACTTTGTTTGGTCAATTGCTCCCATCAAATCTGTTTGCTTAGCCTTTTTGCAAAAAAATCAAGGAAATGCGCATAATAATTTTCACCAAAAACATATATGCTGACATTAAAATTAAAATATCTTCACAACCCAAGCAAACAGCACCTATGGGAAAAATACAGATACATTTCGTTTGTAACCGGACTATACACGACTACTATCCATTTCAATGAACAGTGTACTCGATTGTAAGTTGAATAACTCCAGAACGAAAGTAGCTGGAGACTTGCGGTTTTCAGCATTCGAAAGAGAGTCATATTTTTTATGTGGAAATCTTCATTTGATGACTTTTATTTTTTCACCACGTACATGCCATGATCCATAGAGCAGTATGATAGTTTAGTGACAAAAATGAAAAAAAATGAAAGTCATCAAATGAAGATTAAAGACATGTCACTCATCACAGTTTTGCATGCTGATTCTGAATATACACTTTGTTCGGCGATTTGACTTTAACGAAAGGTCGAAAAACTCCACAAATCACTGAAAATACAGTTTGGGGCTCTCGAGAAAATGCTCATAACTCCTGAACGAAACACGCTAGCGGGGCTCGGTCTTACGCAGATCGAAAGAGAACAATTTTCTCTATCGAATGTCATCCTAAATCCAACGATAGATGCCTTCGGAATATTGTTTTTAAAATGTTCATCAAGAATTCTCCTGATTGATCAGTTTTCCATATAAAAAATATGACTCTCTTTTCAATGCTGGAAACCGCAAGTCTCCAGCTGCTTTCGTTCTGGAGTTATTCAACTTACAATCGAGTGCACTGTTCATTGAAATGGATAGTAGGAAGCTGTTCACTTCGTTAATTAAAACTGGAATAATTAGGAAGGACCCCTTTCCACTTCTTATACTTATTTGAAGGTGTCATCTACAGCATTGGTTGAAAAGGAACTTCTTACTAGATGCGTCATGTTCAACTGGTAGTAGTTAAATCGATCGATTATCTGGAGATAAATCGAGAGTTGCCACTATAGAGAAAATCTAGCAATCACCCGATTGCTAGATTTCCACTGTCATTACCAACTAACTCCAGTCGAGTAAGTTAAAAATCCAGTAATCTATATGAATCGGGCGATTCTAGATTTTTTTATGCTTGGCAAAAACTTGGGTAGAACTTAGATCAATTTCTAGTTGGAAGCTGAATCGAGTGCTGTCTTGTTCAAAGCGTCTTAACACTTTGAGCTCAGAAAATACCGAAACTGGCTGACCCTTGTTTGCATCGTGTCTTTGGAAAGTTTTCAATGATCACCTTTTATTGAAACGACAACCGTTTCCTCTCGTCAAGTTCTATCATCTGGTATATATGACTCCCTGTTTTCTTCCTCTGAAACTGGTATTACTACAGAAACGACAGTTCGCTACTTTTACCACCAAAATACATTCTTTCGATCCTCAGTAAGCTATGTGTAAGGAAAATAAACTTTTTATAAATGATCGCCATAGCTTTACCATCGAATGTATCACGGAATTTTTTTTTGTTCACTCAATTATTTTTTATTTGATAGAACGCGCTTTTACAATTAAGTCGTTATATAAGTTTCTAGCGAAGTTTCGGTGTAGTACTAAGACTACATTTTAGGGATGGGACTAAATACTACATCAGACGACTGTTATACTAACAAATAAACATTTAGTAAAAACTTAGGAAATATTCTTCACAGTAGTTGCTATTCTAAACGTTTTTCTGTCTATTTTTCTCTTTAATTCTACAGTAACACGATAACAAACATCCAAGCAAAGTCAAGAATGTTATGGCGTTATCAACGTTTTCTTATTATTCATGAATATCGTGAAAGAACACCGTTGCCACCTCCGTTCAACATCTTTTGTTATATTTTTTATTTGCTCCGATATCTGTTGCGTCACTGCCAACGCTGTCATCATTTTAAAAGTTCGTTCTTTCTAATAGATTCAGCATCTTTATGCAATTGTATATGATGCATATTTTAGCATCACCAGCTATTGAACGTCAAAACAATAATTTGCCGCCAGTAGCCATTAAAATAACCCAGCTAATGGCACGAGAAAAACAAATATCAGGATTATATTGGAAAAATTATTTTATTACAGAAGAAAAACAGAAACAAACAAACGTGGATTTGAAAACTATGGAAAGAAAGTACGGAATCAACTACTATCCGTTTCAAAATTCAGTGCAGTCGTCATTCTTATAATAAGTTGTTAACAAAATGAGCTAGAGATCTGCGATTTTCAGTAATCAAAAGACAACAGTTTAAGATATACTTTCATAAGCAAAATCGTCTATCGAAAAAATTCGGAAGATCGATTTTCTACAAGATCTGTAGAAAATCAGCTCCGGTTTTTGGAAACCGACATAGTAATCGATCGTCTTTGTTTCGTAGAAAGGTAGTCCGATGTGTTTTCTACAAAATAAGATCTAGGCAAAAGTTTGTTTGGTTTCGGCGCTACGGACCTTTTTCCCGAAGCCTTAGAACTTCTCTGTCGTTAAGTTTAGACTGTTGGCCATGCTGAATCTTGTGGCAACATTTGTTTTCCAAAAAAGTTTCAAAAACCTTGTGAAAACGAATATTACGTGAAACATCCCAGTTTTGCCTATTTTTGAGTAAAATCAAAGCTTTTATAACCTAGTCAAGATCCAATCAAATTATGTCAGAATATAAACATGTACTCTATTTTACTTGCTTAATACTATGCAGTTCAATAAGAGCTTTAAAAGTCAACAGAAAGTATTCTGATTTTTGAAAAGGTGTTCTAGAAGTCTTTCGAAGTACAAGCATGTTCTTTACCATTTTCAAGTAGAAAATCGTTTGGAGTAGGTAAAATGAAGTACATGTTGATATTCTGACATAATTTGATTGGATCTTGGCTGGGTTATAAAAGTTTTGATTTTACTCGAAACTAGGTAAAAATGGAATATTTCACCTAATATTCATTTTCACAAGGTTTTTGGAAGTTTTGTGGAAAACAAATATTGCCACAAGGTTCAGCATGATCGATAACCTATATTTTTATGCATTTTTGACAGTCTAAACCTAACGACAGAGAAGTCATAAGGCTTCGGGAAAAGATCCGGAGCGCCCAAACCAAATAAAGTCAAACTTTTCTTTTTGTTTTAGATTAGAAAAAATCTACGATACAATTATTCACAATAATCAACCAGCAGAACAGGTGAAACTTCGCTTTTGTTCGTAGAGAGGAAGAGAAAAGGTAAAATGTACGTTTTTGTCTTTTCCAGTTAGAACCAGATTTTGTACGTGGCTTAATGAAACTATATTACGATCATCCAGAAGAAGCTCCACCTATTACAATAAACACACAACGAGTAGTACCGCATGGCAATCAGCTAATTAATGGCTTTGAAGAAGAGTTTGGACTTGATGAGCAGCAGTTGCCAGTGCCGCGAGGATCCCGTCAAAGATCTCTAACTCGACATTCCTCAAGTTCAACCGAGATGTTAACCACATCACCAAGAGACAATGCACCGAGATCGCGGTCACGTCACGCACTGTTAATAGAGGAAAATAATAGCAAACCTCCCAATGTAAGAATTATAACAAAAGTATTACAACGACAGCGGAAATGAGCGCCGTAGAAGTGATAAATCGAATATTTTTTTCTGTGATAATGAACCTTTTTTGTTATTTTAATGTGTAATACCTTATTGGATTCATCAAATAATCTTACCTTACCTTCGTCTTAGAACTAGAAATATCGTTCATCTTCGAATCACTCCGTCCCTTGATTGTCTGGCTGTGTTAGACTTCAAAAATAGAAACGACAGTTTTAGCGAAGCGACAAACACTTTCAAAACGGCGAAGATAGTGGAAAATCTCAGACTACCGCCCGGAAAGTACATTCAGCTACTATTTTCTGTTTTCAAGGGATTCGAAGCAAATAAGACATGTCACTTCGGCTCGTTCATGTCTATTCTGAGCACTTCCAAGGTTTGTAGCAACTATTTCGCAAACAGCCGGACCACCGCGACGGACTTTGAACTGCACTTCGAGCAGCCAGGGCAGCGAAAAAACTTCCCTCTGCTACCATCGCTTCGATGAAATTTTTCAGAAAAAGTTACTTCTAATAAATAAGATTAAAAAATAACAATTGACCTTCTACCGTTACTGTTCCTAACTGGAGATCCAAGCGATAAAATAAGGATACCTCAATTAACTACACATGCATTAAATGTAAAAGAAAAATATACGCATGGGCTGAAAGTGGAGATTCTATATTTAAAATCGATCAGAATGTGAAAATTCCACTACACTGGTCTAGCTTTGCAAGTGAATGCGTGGACAGAGCCATTTTTGGAGCCAAGCACACGCATGATCCTCACAATTCTCTGGCACAGGCTTTCTTTCCGTTATGTAGATAATATTTTCTTTTTGAGTGAGTGAGACTTTGCTCTATTTCGCTCTTCCTTTTTTGTTTATA